GGAAGGTATTAAAAACTTTTATTAGTAATGTTGCCCTTTTAGAAAAAATAGCTTCTACTTACTTTGTAGGGCCAAAAATAAGGCAAAATAAGATAGATTGGAAAAAAATGATATAGACATCTTTAGGAAGAAGTTAAGAGTAAATTTTAGTAAAAATTACTTAGAAAAACTAGATGTTGATACCCGGAGAGGGCCGGTTATGAACCAAGGTCGAAATTAGACCCTGAGGCACAAAACTGAGTCTAAACGACGACTTTGAGACTCTTTGGCTAATCGGAGAGTGGAATTTGATAGAAGATTGGGCAAGGTTTTTATGAGCATTAGTTTTGGATGATTTGGATCTATATTGACTTTGTAAGAGCTTTGGAAAGTCAAGGTTTGTTTCGGATGACTTGGATTTTGTGAAATAAAATAGGGTTTATATTTTGGATGATTTCAAGAGTTTTGTTATAGATCTATAGGTGAAATTTTATGGGTTAATTTTTATAGTTATTTTAAGTACATGTTGTGAATTTGAGCTCAATCTAATGGTTGAATTGAGGGTTATTGAGGTTTAAGTGAGTCAAGGTTTTAGAAAGTAGAATTTTAGGTCTAGTGAGGGTATTCAAGATTTCTTGCAATCTACTAGTTGGATTGGAGTGAAATTTGTGTGAGAAGATATTAGGCTTGTTTTTCTATGTATATAAGAATTTTGAGATCAATTGAATGGAGAAGAAGAGAGATATTGGCTCTGGGAGATTAGTATCAAGATTGGAGAAGGAGACCAGCCAATATCTGAGCACATTTTTGAGGTTATCATCTATTTGATAATTCCGATCTATTTAAAAAAAAATTTTGCTTCTTTTTAATTTAGTTTTTAAGAATTGTGCAAAATTTGAGTTAAGATCAACAGTTTATTCATTAGTTATTGAGGTTTAAATTTATTGTAGGAATTACTAGGATTTGGTTATGGATTGGTTTAGGGTTTAAAGTTTGGTTAGGATTTGATTTAGGATTAGGGTTTGGTTAGGATTTGATTTAGGATTTAGGATTTGGATTAGGATTTGGTTAGGTTTTGATTTAGGATTTAGGATTTGATTTAGGATTTTGTTGGAATTTGGTTTAGGATTTGATTTAGGATTAGGATTTGATTAGGGTTTGATTTAGGGTTTAGGATTTGATTTAGGGTTTGATTTAGGATTTGATTTAGGATTTATTTTAGGATTTATTTAGGATTTTATTTAGAGTTTAGTTGAGATTTGGTTTAGGATTCAGGGTTTGGTCAGGGTTTGGTTTAGGATTTAGGGTTTAGTATTTAATTGGGATTTGGTTTAAGATTTAGGATTTGATTTAGGGTTTGATTTAGGATTTAGGATTTTATTTAGGATTTAGGGTTTGATTTAGGATTTAAGATTTGATTGGGTTTTGATTTAGAATTTATTTAGGATTTGGTTTAGGATTTAGGGTTTGTTTAGGATTTGATTTGGATTTGGTTAGAATTTGGTTTAGGATTTAGGGTTTGATTTAGGGTTTGATTTAGGGTTTAGGATTTTATTAGGATTTATTTAGGATTTAAGATTTAATTAGTTTTGGCCTAAAATTTGAATGAAGTCCAATAGGATTTTAACTAGGATTAAATTAAGATTGAATTGAGATGTATTTGAGAGATATTTGTGATCATTCTAATATTTCTTTAAGATTTCTTATTGTTTCTTTGAAATTTCTTTGAGGTTTCTTTGAATTTGATTAAAGCTTGCTTAGCATTATTATCATCTAATTAGAGCATTGTTAGTATTCTATTAGAATTACGATTTTGTTGTTGCAATTTCTATTCTACCTTCCACAGCCAAGTGCCCGGAGCATTCTCAAGCAAGATTTCACGTATTACAACAACCCATGTGCTAAATGTCCAATCATTCCACACTTATGGCAAGAACACATCTTTAATTTTTATTTTTTACTATAATTAATAGTAGAACGTTTATTTTTTTCATATAAATAGAAATCGTCATGACTATGACTACCTTGATACTTATGAGCATGTTTCCCATGTTTATATAATTTTTTCTTAGACTTTGAAATATTAAGTACATGAAATTTTGGAATTGTAGTTCCAATAGGATGAGCTTTCGCATTGCGCAAGAGTAGCTCATTTTGCCTTTCTGCAAGAAGTAGATAGGACATGAGATCAAAATCACTCTGAAATTTCATGTTCCTGTATTATTGTACAAGCACAGCAAATACAGGAGGAAATGTAGAGAGAGTTTTCACAATCATTCCTTCTTTAGAGATGCTTTATCCACATAATCGTAATTGTGAGACAATACTATATATTTCACTATTGAAAGCATTTAAATTTAAAAAATCTAAGACACATAAATGTATCCAATTATGACGTGCGCATGGAAAGAAAATGGTCTTTTGATGATCAAACCTGGATTTAAGATTCTTCCAAAGTTCTGTAGGATCTGCCATTTCCAAATATTGATGTTGTAATGTAGGTATAAGATGACGATGAAGGAGAAGAAGTGCTTTCCAATGAATAGCAAGAGGAATAGAAATACTTATTATAGGAGATTCTTCAAACATAATGACATCCGAGAGTTGTTCTACAAATAAATTTGTTTTTGCCATTTTTACCTATAATAGATAATTGTTTCTATCCACAGTCAATAATAGAAATAAAAGAGCTTGAAAATATTGGGATGCATTGGTAATAGTTGGAACCACAGTAAAAGTTCAAGATGTTGAAGCACTCATTATAAATAAATCTGTGAAAAAAATACAAGTTCAAGTAGAAAAGTTGAATAAAATGTACCTTAAAATATAAAGTCAAATAAAATGATAAACTTGAACTTAAAAAATAAAAATATTATTACTATTATTATTATTTTTAAGAATGTTGTAGATTAAGGCAACAGGCAGTGGTAAGACGACAAGGTGGCAGCGACAGCAGGGTGACGGTGGTGGGCGGTAGTAGCAGGTGCAGGGCGCAACATGGAACAAGCTGGGGTAGAGTTGGACTGAATTAAGTATTCTAAGCAAATATGGTAGAGAGTGGAACAAGTACTCTAAGCAAGCAACTAATGTGTGAGAGGCCAGTAAAAAGAGCAGCAAGATCATAAGGCAGACACTCAACAAGAGTAGCAACAAATTTGAAGAGACAAGACTAGAGCAAAAAAAAATTGTGATAGTATGTAGAAGAGAGCTATGCTGATAACGTGTTGAGAATGTTTAGAAAGACACAAGAGTAGTAGTAAGTCATATACACAAGAGGGTTTCTAAAGAGAAAGAGCTTCATACATAAAAATCTATTGATCTGGTTGTGTTTCATATACAAAAAGAGAAAAGAGAGAGGATAAACAGTTCTTCTCCACTAGACTCTAAATACTGTAGCTATAGTATTTACTATAATCTATAGTAAATATTATGGAGAGCATAGGCTACATTTAATGCTCTCAATAGTTATGACTTGTTTTGTTCCAATTCTCTTCTATTATTTTAACATGGTTCAATTTACCAAGTATCAAAATATCTCAATTCAAGAAATACTCTTTTTAAGGTCTAGTGATATAAGCCTTGTTCTTATTTCAAACAAGTTAAAAAAATTAAATTAAATTAATTTACAAACCTCAGTTGTTTTTGTAAAATAAGAAATTTCTATATTATATTAAATAATAATGTTGTAGTACTTCTTGTTTCTATAATAAAAATAATTTCAATTAATTAAAATTTCAATAAATTAAAATATTTTTAAAAAATCAAAATTTATTTCTCTTATTACCTAATTACATGGTACCAATTGTCATGTCTAAGAGCATCACTACCTGGTGGCACCAACAAGGACAACTAACGAGTGGATGTCGTGGTTGCATGGCAAGCGAGCAAGGTGGTCGGCATAAGCTAGGCCTAGCACCACATGCCTACCCCACATTGGCTCTCCCACAAGAAGATTCCTTCTTCCAAGAAGCTCCCCTTGTGTGATAAAAGAAAAAAAAATGACTTCTACGGACTACCTCGCCATGTAGCTGGTAAAAGCGAGGCCTGGGGCCACTTGCCTGCCCCAAACTGGCTTCTCCTGGGCTCCACTCCAAACCCCGACCTTGGAGTAACATGACAAAATATATTACACATAACATACCACAAGAATTCTTAGATTTCTCAGTCTTTGTCTCCAAGACTCAATGACATCTACAGTTCGTTTCGAGCCGTCGACTCATCCATACAGTTTCGAAGGCAATCGAGTAAGCTCCCACCATCTGACGAATTTCCCAGTCACTATCTGATGGTGAAGAAGCTGCGAGCAACGATACTTGGACCCATCTTAGATCAGAAATCAGGTTACAGAAGAAAAACCATGAGTAGACCCTAGATTTTAAGTAAGTCTGTGCAGAATCGTTGTATCATTGGATGTGACAGATGAGGTTAGGAGTCTTAATTTCGAGTCCTCAAGGATATGCCGATTGCCCTACATAGCCTTAATTTCAAAAGCTGCACGTAGGTTGACAAGACTGTGTAGCGCTATGCCTCGGAGTCGTGCAAATCAAGAATCAATCATCTTATCAACCTAGAGTACAAGGGTTCAGGATTTGGATTTACGTAGTCAGAGACTGATGGGCAGGTGTAATTCCGGCTATTCTCAAATGACGTTTTATTACTCCGCAAACATGGGCTGCTAATTACTCTAATATTAATGCATTGTCCAGAGAGGTGAGATAGGTAATCTAACACTCATTCGAGCATGGTGAAGATGGCATTGATTAGGTCTAGTGATCACCATAGATGCAGTGGTTTCCGTTGCACACAGCCCATTCAGTCACTTTCTATCAGTTACTTGCTTGATACTGAGTATGGCATTCGTCGACGTTAATAATGGGATAGGAGAAAATGTCTTCTGTTACACCATGCTCGCATTTGTCACATCTAGAAATCCTTGGGGGTTGGTGTAACGAGTCAAGAGTTCACACAATATTCATCATCATTATGGTCCTCATGTCCAATTTTTTTCATGGCGCGTCAAATTTGATTGAGTGCAGTTTTGGAGAAAGCACTGACTAAGGGAACTTTACTTGATTGAACCCATGGTCCCGCAACAAAACACGAGTCGGCAGTAAGAGTGAACACAAGCTCTTGCCCAACTTCAAGACCATTTTTAGTGCAGAAATTCTTTCCCCTTTTTCGAAGGGAGAGCCTGGGACGAACCCTGTCATACCTTACATAGATTGCGACAGTGTGCACTGGGGACCCGTTTTGGAATCCCCTGAAGCTGGACGAGCGTGCGAAGCAGATTGCAGTGTGTCCTGTAGAAGTTGAAGGGAATTTCCTACACAATCGTCAAACAGACTTGTCTGCGTGACCTGGTGCTTGAGTCTTCCTTTGTGAATGCAGTCATCTTACTAAACCGGTTTTAATTTATTTGATGACTCATCATCGTTGGTTTATTTTAATAACTTACGAATGATTCCAGAAGGAACTTTTTTTGCAAGAGCCTACCAGGTGATTTATTCTGGTGAGAGTCAATAGCTTGAGAAAACTTGGATCTGATGTTAGCGGCTTCCTTTGGGATGCCTCGCCGCTGCACTCACGGGCATGGTGTCTCTCCGAGTAAATCTCTGTGCTACAGCAGCTTTGCAAAGGGGATTTCTGCAAGATTCTCTGCATCAATTTGCACTGAGGATGTGAATTCGAAAACCTGATGCGAACTCGAATTCGAGCCAAATGCCCGTCGACAAACTTTGATCGTAGTAGTTCAAGGCATACATATCCCAATTTTGCACACAATGTGAGGATGCAGGGTTGCGTTACCGGTCCATAGAAATGCGACTCGCAGGAAGTCGAGTTCCGAGGTGAAATATAATTTAAATCAGCGACTTCGATATCGATCTCCTTGACCAGTGCCTCCGCAGTTCCATGTTTATACCTCTTGCAAAGAAAAAATAAAAATAAATTGTGCAGCCCAGACGATGATTTCTCCCTCTTCTTGCCTGTCATAGGATCACCGAATCTTCTGACAGAAGACTCGTCTGTTGATATCTGCGGAGTTTCTGTTGTTCCGGTCCCTTCTTTGGTAGCTGCGCATAGATTGAGTGTTAGGGTGCATAGCAAGTGCGCAGGCCATTACATCTGATATTGCGATAGGTTTTCTCTGAAGACGACCTCCTGTGTTAAAAAAATACTGCCCGAATGTGGATTTCCCATCCTTTCTTTCATATTCCCACCCTTAAGATCCATTTCTTCGTTCCTCGGCAAGATGTCAACAAATTTGAAGCTATGCGCTGGCTTCTCGAACATTGAGTCATACGCCACAGTGCTATCAACCACCTGTAAAAACATGACTTCGGTTCGGAGCTAAGTTCATCAGACAATGAAATACAGTGAATAAGCATTAACTATTTTTGCTTTCAATATTTTTTTCATTCTCCTCTTCTTCCCACCACATAGCAGGAAAAGCCTTCAGCTTCGTGCCCTGGCCATCCTTCGTTGCCACTATAGAGATCCGAAGGTATCAGGATGACGATGCACAGGGGCTCAATATATCAGGTGTCACTAGTTGCGAAAGCTGCTATAGGATCTTCACCATGCCGAGCAGAACAATCGAACATGCACACGAATTCCTAGATGGTAGCGTAACAAGACGAGCGTTCATATAGTATCACACTGGAACTCATTGCTCATTGAAGCACTCGAGAATAGGCCACAACTTAGATATTCTTTCTCGCTACGAGCTTATAAAAATTAACGAGGCACTATCTGGGGAAAGCGAGAATCGACACGAAGGGCAAAAATTGCCTATTTGTGGAAGTAAACTAGCTAGTAATGGAAACAACACGTATTATCCTCATTCTCAATCCTTTGCTGCTCAAAGTCGAAGTAGAATTAAGATACACAATTTCCACAATTGCCAGAAAAGGTTTTAAGGATACATGTTCCAGAGTGAAGGATTCTGGTTTCATCACAGTAACAAGTACAGCAGGGGCCTAAGAACAATTCCAGACAACCTCATTCAGCAGTCTAATAAAGTCAACAAAGCGATTGGAGAGAAGTATTGAGTTATAATTTGTCCACCGTGAAGATATTTGGAAATCTAAGGTGCATATTATTCTTTGAATCATAATGCAACGGGCGACTAAGCATTCGCTTGAACACACCACAAAAACTGAATAGAACTGAGAGCTGAGTATCAGCAGAGTTAATTAGATACACAAATTATGCACGGATTGAAGTCTACTCTATTCTCTCCTTAATTCTATATCGAGATAGAGTCATGCGCAGAGATTTACAAGATGAGTCCGACAATTTCTAACTCTCGATCACAGTGATCGTTCTATCCTGTTAAGCTCTTGGATTCAGAATCACATGTGCGTTGAGATTTTACAAGTATTTAACGAAGCGCTCTCATTCATCTCACAAAACGTGTGACGGGACGTTGTTCAAGCCAGTGACAGGGTTCCAATAAGAATCTTCCCTGACCTTGAAGAACGAATCAGCGGAAAGATAAAAAACAAGCTCATTCCCCACCCGAAGCATGTTCTCAGTCACGAAATTGTCCCACCCAGCTCCTGCTAAGTAGAGCCTGACTCGCGCTTTGTCCAAGTGACTAATGGTCTGGAGATTTCGCACTGGTGAGCTTTCATGAATTCCTTGAAGTTGGATGGAATCGAGCAGTTGACTCCCATATTTCACTGCGAAATGCTGTGGGATTTCCTATACGATAGTTAAACAATTCTTAGTGTTCAGGAAGGTCGGTTAGGACTTCATTTCTACTTGTAGGAGCAGATGTATTCAAGGAGCTCGGATATGTACTTGTGAGGTATTCCTAACAGGAATTCGAATCTTCAAAAAGAAGCTGAGCCGTGTGAAATTACTCGGTTTATGAGGGATTTACTTCATCCATTACAAGCATATAGATCATCAATTTGACTGTAAATGGAACTGTTTAACAAACACAGGGACAGCAGCAGAAATCAAATTATAAAAGTCCTTACCAGGCGGAAAACGTCCCTGGCTACGATTCTCTTCGAGAAGCTTGGAAAGTACTTTCGACACTTCTGAGAAAACTCCAAACTAACTTGCTGCATCTCATGACAAGAAAAATTCTTGAGAAATTATGCACCGAAGGTCAGGTTCTTGAAAAATGATTTAATTTTGCAGCTAAAGACAATTGGTCAAAGGGAATTCAGCAAGACAGGTTATACTTACTGCATTAAGAGCGCTGCTGTGGGGTGAGCTTTGGCTACAGGTATCAGTGGAAGCGGTGCCTGCAAATTCTTTCTCAGATAAAGGTCTTCTCCTTGCACATATTGGACACACGTTGCATACGAGACCCGCGTTTCCTTCTGCAAGGTTGTATCCAAGGGACTGGTTGAGAATTTTCTTTTGAGGGAACTCAATTCCGTCAGACCATTTTACAGATGCTTCCAGCATTTGAGGTTTCTTTTGATGTCCATTTCCGTTGAATATGTAGACTTGAAACTGCGACACGGCTGTAAGGGAGAAGATAAGGTGATCTCCTTCTTCAAGCCCATTAAAAGCAACGAAAGCTCTCCATCCACTGGAAAAAGTCACTTCTGGCATAACGGGTCGAGAAGGACATATTGACAGCCAAAGATTCCACGGTCCATGGCTCAGGCCAGATAGAAGAACAACAGACTTTCGAATTCTGTTTCCATGTTCTCTAACGAACTGTCTGGGTAAGGTCTGTAGAAAGCAACAATCACCGCCACACAATGTCAGAAGCAAGCCATCCTGCTCTGAAGCACACTTCCTCGGATGCACACTTAGGAGTACGGTATAATCTTATGTCACTAAACGATGCAGAGCTGCCACAATTGACCTCGATGAAAGACAATCTGACGATGCCTCTCGCATCCATTATAACAAGCAAATTTTTGTGAGCAACTACTAATTAACGCACCAGCTGACATGTTCTGCGACGAGTATAGATGCCGAGAACATTTGAAGCTGTAAGTTTCTGAACAAAATAGATGCTGCATTGCAAACAATGCAGCATCTCCTTAAAATCCCGGCAGCTAAGTTTCGTCTCCACTGTTTCTGGTTCAGAAAATGTCATGGCATCCTGTGTATAGTGGACTGTTTAACTGTGAGGCTCAACTCCGAGATCTCTGCTGAGTCAGTACAGAATGTTCTGCTATTCTACAAGGAAAAGTGAGTGACGCAGAGGTCGAATTTTAGAAGAGCTCAAAACAAAAGTAGCTTCAATTCCTCTCAAGGAACTCACAGCCCAAGAATAAGACCTTGATTTGCTTCTATTACGAATTACGATGAGTATTTAAATATAACTTCGGTACACTCATTCTTGGTTTGGATCGTGACATTCTTCGACTACTTTCATGTTTCCAAATAACTCGGCACACACAGCCGGTCTTATCATCATGATGAATGGTACTCGTAATAAATACGCTAGAAGCCGGGGGGGGGGGTAACTCGAAGCATTCAAGTCGACAAGTTCCCGAACCTAAAATTTCGGATCCATGTTAGAGAGAAGATGTACAAAGTTTTGATCAAAGCCTGAAAGCAGGCAGAAGATCTTTCAAAATAATGTCCAGAATTCACTTCATGCTTCTCACACACGCTATCATTCCATCACAACTCATGTTTCGTGAAGCTCTCTCGTAACGCAAGGATCTGGATTTCACCGTGGATTTTTCCCGATAGCACCAAAGCAATGAGGATTCTTCTTCGTTTCTAATGTATTCCAGTAAACCTTTTAGATGAATTGCAGAGTTTGACTCGCAGAAATGTAGAATTGAGGTTGCAATGCGGTGGAGATTTACAAAATCGTTTCGGTTGGGCTATGTCGTTGGTCATGAAAAGCGTGGCCATGTCTCTCACAGACAACGACACTGTTATTTTGGCCAAATCCCTACTACCGAAAGTCGACGAGGAAGATTTGTGTACCGAATGTGACGTCTGCTGGGGCTGATTCCAGTTGGGAGACACATCACAAGCTGCATGAGGAGATTGTTATCGTCCCACGCCAAGCATGCAACCATATGGACCACCCTGAGCGGTGAAGAGCGTGCTTGGCAAGGCTGATGCCCTTCATCACGATGCGGCTTTCGTTCCCGCTGTTTATTCGAAGTATGTAAAGTAAACTTACCCAGGGAATAGTCCTATTGACTATGCTCTAAGATGCTATTTGAATGTTCACTAACACACTTGCATATTGAGAGTCGCGTGGTCGGAAGTTGTTCCTCTTGTGCAAGTGGGAATGCTTGTTGCGTGAGACAATCACAACTTCGTTGCATGTAATTTGAAACTTAGACCGAATGGATGCCTTCGCAGGCACTATCTTTAACTACGCGTTAGCTTTGAATTTCCTATCCTTGTTTGTTTGAGACTGTACACAGATTCTTTACACGAGGAGCATTTGGTGAGAAATCCGTTCCGATTTCCCTTCATGACCAATTGATAAGCTCCGAACGTTCAACGAAGCTTCGTTTCCTAATGTCCATCTTTTTTTGTCATGTGGTTGCTTGAGCTCTAGGCTTCTGAATCCGCGTGGGGAATTTACTCATCCAAGGTTTGTACGTCTTTATTTATGTTGCGTGTCTCCCCTGCGGATCCATCTGCATTGTGTTCTGTTGGATGTATTCAAACCAATAGCTGAGCTAACTATGGCTTCTGAGGGTGAGGAAGCAAATGTGCTAGACGGACAGGAGGTAGCGAGGTTGGAGGATTGTTGGGCAAAGCTGCCAGAGGAGGTGCAGCACAGGATTTTCAAGCACCTTCGCTGGCGGAACCTCTTTCGAATCTGTGTTGTTTGCAGGAGCTTCAACATTTCTATCAACCGTTATATTCACGAGCTGCCGTTGTTCCGAACCGGCGTAGCCATCTCAAGCAGTTGATGAGTGCACAGGCGTCGACCCCTTCCGTTGCGCCACGGAGCCAAGTTGTATCTGCTGCCAGCTCGATCGAAGCCAGAGGTTCAAAATTGGGGCTCCAATCCTCCGAGTTGGTCGACATTCACTGCCACAAAGCAGATTTGTGAGGAACTCGAACACTCTAGATTGAACCCACTCTGTTCTGTGTGCCTGGCAAGCGGATTCAAAGCCTTACGCGTATGTTGCATTCAGCATTTCTGGAGGTCTTGATACTAATTGAACACCTAACAGCAATCTTCAAAAGCTTTGTACTCTCTCATCTTGCGCCGAACCGGTACTAGGTTTGAGTCTCCATGTAATCAAGCGGTGTGCATCCACTAATGTTCACTTAGGGTGGATGGGTTAATCGCAGTACTACATGCGGATGATGCAATCCATGCTATAAGTGTGTACACAATCTTCTGCAATAGAGGACTTGATATTTGCGGCCAGATCTCCGGCATCTACCTAGCACATGCGACTTCTTGTTGAATCCAGCAAATGAACAAGATGCATCATTGTGAACTCACTACTAGTCCTCGTCCTCCGAGAGAGCTTTCCAAAAAGTACTAGCGAGATTTGAGGTATCACTGAATGTTGGAAACTATTTGAAATTACTTGGATGAGATATCTTCCGGCCCAAACGCTGTTCAACTTCGTTCTGGAATGTATGTACAACGATGTGTTTTGGCCCTACGTGACTTTGTTCTTCGCATACGTCACAAATTTTACTGATTTCACGTAGTCTCGCGTTTGGTGTGGAGGAAATATGTCGTAGATATCTATTCTTTTGAATAGAATACAAAAGTGGCACCGAAGAGTAAAACGATCTCTAAAGAGACTCAAGGGGTGATCAAGTGTTGCAGAAAATTCAAAACTAAAAACTAAAAGAATAGTGCCCGCCCAAATATAAACCTGGAAACACAAAATATACATTTTAATGACGTAGCAACTTTACATCCCCTCTAACCGCTCCCTTGGTCTCTCGCCGCAGTCCTTGCAGACGAGCCTCTGTCAATGAGGCTTCCTCCTCCATGCCTAAACTCGTATATGCCGTTACTGATATTTTCAAAATATTGTAATCAGGTTCCATCCTGCGTCACATCCCGAGTCAATTCTGTCTTTAGTATCTCACTGATGTCAGTAGTGTCCACTGGTCTTCATAAAAATGCACTGAAATACTTAACAAAGGCATGCTACTACTGTCCTTTGTTCTCTTCACAGAGATGGACGGGAGAGAAGGGCTTCGTTTGAGACTGTACCCTTGCGCCAAAACCTCCCCATAAATTTCGAGATAAGTCTCCCAAAGCTCTAGTTGACTCAAGCACGACAGTATAGGTTCGTAGGTTTTCCAATTGGGCTCCAAGATATCTTTCTTGATGCACCCCAGAACCTGAAACCCAGCCCACAATGAACACAGATTAGACACATCGACAATCCGACCATACAGACATTCATACTTTGTAACCAGCACAGGTATTTCAATTTCAAAGCTCCAGTCACACACCTCGAGACACTTCCGCCACTTCAGGCCCCTGCTGTAACTATCGATCAAAATGTTGTACATTTGCAATGTTGGCACAAACCCAATCTGTTGTTGTAGCTCCAAAAAGACCTGCAGGCATAGAGCATGATGGAGACGTTCTGAGCAGCAGCCGTGGAAATCTTTCGCGGAAACAGCCATCTTTATTCTAATTGCAAACTGATACAGAATTACAGTTGGACAATCCTAATAAAGAAAGCTGATACCGAAGGAGTTAGATGGACTTAGTATTTTTAACTAGCTCTATTGGTCAAACCAAGAAGCCAGACAATGTGTCCAGCAAACAATAGATACTGATATGAACAGAATCGGCAGGCTGTAGGTACCTTGTGTAATCGGTCAAGTTTTCCGCTTCTACCAACAGCAGAAAGTAGATTTATCACCATAGTATTTGTAAGCCGTAACCGTCTCTTTTTCATACCTTCGTACAAGAACAGAGCTGTTTCCCAATCTTTTAGCCTGTTCCCAAGGGCAGAGAGTGATACAGGTTAAAATACTGCGACAGTTCACACATCTAAAAGAATCAAACATATTAATCAGGCTTCTCTTGCAGAAAGCATTCAAACCTTCAAGTACTTGACGATGAGGCCATCGCCTTGGTAGTAGTCACCAATTTCAAGAAATCAGAACAGTACCTGCTGCAAGCCAACAACGTTTCTGTGTAGGCAACGTCATCAAATAAAATTCCCCGAGCTCGCGAACTCTTTTCAATCTGCAGAACCTTTTCAGAACGGTTGGCTTTGTTTAAGGCAACAAAAAGAGTTCCGAATGCGATCGAGTCGGGAGTTATCCCTGCTGCCACCATCTCCTCGCATGCCAATTGAGCATCATCGTACATTCCTGTCCGTTACAATACGAATGCTATGAAAGGAGAAAATATAAATTCTAATAAGATAAATTGATGTCCAGGGACTTTCCTTCTTCATTTCATTTTTCATATCACTTTTTCCCAGCAAGAAAGCTGACTAATATTAAGAGTATGAAAAGTTGTACCAGCATTACTGTACGCAATCATGAGACTCGTATATGTAACTACATTTGCCTTACATCCAGCCTTTCGCATATCGTCAAATATTGTACGTGCTTCATTGTACATGCCCTGAAACCAGTTTCTGACAACAATCAATAAAACAATGTAGTTTGCTTGAGGGGCGACAAGTTTGCTTTATCTTCAATAGTTGCAAACAAACTCAATAAGTTGAAGATCATGCATCTGATATTGATAGGTGCATCCAAACATGTGCAATATAAAGTGGAACAAAAATGACCAACAAAATGGTCTTACATGCTTGGCGAATGCATTAATAAGAGCTGAGCAGGGCTCCACAGTCAAAGGAATGCCAAGATCAACCATTTTATCATATAAAGTTCTTGCTTCTCGGTAATCTCCCAAACTTCCAGCAGCATTGATAAGAAGTAAAAATGTGACACCGTTTGGTCGAAGATTTTGCTCCTCCATGACTTCAAGGAGCGCCTTAGCTTCATCAAATTGTCCTGCTTCTATGTACGCTGTAATGGCTGCATTGAAAGCAGGGACATTCAACGCTATTTGCCGTACCTTAGCTTCATGAAATACATCTCTCACTTTCTCTGGGCACCGAGCTCGTGCACATGCTGCAAACAATGAGCATATCGTGACGACATTAGGTTCAATTCTAGCTTCCGCCATATCGTGCAGAAGCTCCCGAGCTCGCTCGTACTTCCCAGCACTTGCATATGCATCCATCAGGCCATTAAAAGTAACGAGGTTCGGTTTCCGGCTTCTCTGCTTCATAAGATCAAAAACTTCTTGAGCCTTTTCTGGATAGCCAGCCTTGCCAAACGCATTAAGCAGGGAGGAGTAACTAACCACATCTGGCTCAAATTTTGCTTTCACAAGGAGCCCAACCACCTGAAGAGCCTCTGTATACATTCCCTGAGACGCATAAGCTCCTAAAAGAGTATTAAATGTTACTATCGTAGGAGCCATACCTTCCCCTGTACGCAAAAAAATCCTCAAAGTTAGCACTTTTAAGACTTGAAATCGTCACTACTCTCAGCTGATTGATTCCAAATGATTACAGGCAAGTTCATAGAATGGATAGTGCGTTCTCACCAATCATCATATCAAAAGTTTCCTGGGCCTTTGTAATCTGCCCACATAGAGCATATACATGTAAAAGAGCATTGAAAGTAACAACATCTGGTTCACATCCATTCATCTTCCTCATTTCTTTGAAGAGATTGATCGCATCTTCGAAACGCCCTAGTTTTGTCAGGCAATTCAGTATTATATTGTGGCTGTATCGGTCAAGAGGTACTTTCTTTGAGATGAGGTGATCGTAATATGCAACTGCATGACGGGGTTGACCTCCAGATTTGAATGCAGAGAGGATAATATTGTACGTCATGAGGTCTGGACCAACACCGTTATCTGTCATGCGCTTGCATATCTCTAAAGCTTTAAACCATTGACCACTGCTGCCGCATGCGTTGATCAGGTTGTTGTAAGAACTTCGGCTTGGAGCTATCTGCATATCAACAATGATAACTATGAGCGACTTCCACACTGCCTTCTACATCTGTTACTCACGCTGTAACTTAGGCTTAAGAAGCCAAAAACTTGAGGTTTGCAGCTTCATGCTGCTTGTGGAGACGGGGAGTAAAAGAGCTCAACCAGAGATTTAGCTGAAAACACGTGTTATTGCAAATATGTAAACATATGGTTTTGGCTGGTTTTCTTGACCATATGCATGCTCCAAATGTAAGGTAAACTAATAGTAGACGAACACGCACAAAAGAAATCCTCAATCCAGTTCTACAATACAATAAACTTCCGCCAATCCACATACTTTTGACATTGTAGTCAAAGAAGAAAGTTGCAAGCCAATAAAGTTAGCACGTATTACAATCTTACAGGTTTAGGGGCCTGTAACATATCATCAAAAATTTGCAGTGCCCAACGCCATTGTCCAGCCCGTCCATGAACATTCATCAACGCATTATACGTTTCCACATCCGGCTTGCACCTAATTCACATTGACCCTACACAAATGAGCTTTCAAAAACTTTCTACCACGATCGCCAAACAATTGTACGAGTTCAGATAATCCCAGACTCCACCCGGTTTAAAATTACAGACTTTGGAATAAACCCAAAACTTCCTAGGACGTTATAAACATTAACATAAAAAATAAAATAAAATAAAATAAAATAAAATAATCGTTCGTGAGCAGTCAAAGGCATCAAACATGCGTCAGTACATATTTTGAAACTCGGACTGCAAGAAATTACAAAATATACGTCGTGAAGATTGATGAGTAGATTTCACAGCGTACACGTAAACCAGCATTTTCTTCAGAAGAAGAACCAGAACAATTTAAAAGAAGTTTCGTGTAGCTTTGAAGAAATCTGACCTCCAAACCTTCATCTCATAAAAGAGACCTCGCGCTTGGTCTGCACGCTGATGTCTGGCATGCAACCAGATCATACAGTTGTAAATGTCGGTACGAGCCCGGTAACATTTCTGGTTTTTCATCCAATTAAAAACACGGAGACTGTGCTCTAACGCCCCTGTTCTCGTGATTTCCTGCGGAACCCAACGTTGATTTATGTTTTCCTATTTTCCGGGCTTTGAGGCAGAGTTTAAGTTTTAATTTATATTTAAAATTCATTCTAAATTTCTGAGATATGCATGGAATCAATTGAATACATTCCAGATGAAACACAATGCTCCAATGGTTCCTTTTAGCAGAAAAATCTCGAATTTCTCCACAGGTGACCCACCGACAAAGAATACGAAGAAGTGAGAAACAGCCAGAGACAACAAGGAATGCTGAGACAGGTAGTCAAGGTACTGATCAGACAAAGGAGTACCGAAATAAGGGCAGGAAAATTCTTCCTGTTGAAGCGACCAAGCCAACAATTTAGTACTCCGTCGATGTCTTCCCAGTGGTTCAAGGCCAACACCCGGCTCACGACTTCCCGTGGGGTCCAAACCTCCTGGTTAGCGTTCAATTGCCGCTTCTTGTACTTGGCTGGCACTTTGTGCATTGTTGTGGCCAGATGCTCCGCGGTTGACCGTCTGTTAGGCATGGGGAGAGGTTCATAGTACCTTCCCGGATAATCTCCTTCATCCCCTGTCGGCACTAACTCAGCAAACACAATTTGGACATTCAACTTCACGCAATGGGCGGAACGATTTGAGCCTGACGAATTGAGCTTTGGGTCTAGTAAGCGGGAAAACGATACGGTCTCTGCCTTGAACCCTAAAGGATGCAACATTGTAAACACGCAATTGAACTCCTCTGTCTCCAAGTCAGTGAATTCTACTCTAATTTTCTTCTTCAGATATCGCTATTACGCGCCGCTATCGTGCCGAAATGATCAGGTTCATTTCCATAAGAACAAGCCTCCTATACTTTGTTGTCAAAGAAGGAACCTGCACATTCACTACAATATTCAACTCACCCCCAATAATCTCCTACAGAAACCCAAATTCAACCCACTGCTTCATCGCTCCCCCTGCGACACACTCATGGCCCCCAGGAACACAGCAGAGCTGGTCGCCATTCCAGATTAACAATCCAGTTCGTCTTCAACTGCTCGACGAAACTCACAGCTCACTTCCAAAACAACCCACAAAGTGTAAACACAAACACCTCATAAACTCGATCTCCGTCGTAGAAAAAATTGATATCTGTTTCGCAAAATGCAATGCAAAGTCGAAGAGCAACGGCACTAAGACTCTTCCCTAAGCCCCAACCTCGGCAACTCACAATTCCAGCAACAATACCAAACAGGAGCTGTCCCACACTCCCCCCATCATCTTCCCTTTCTCTCATCAAGGCTGCGGATAAACCCCTCTTTCCTGGGGTTTTTGAAGAGCGTATATTGATATTCAGATGATACCCGGTTAATACCCCTCATCCTCCACTTACCCAATAACCACAGCCCAACGTCGGTACTGCCCAATACATATAAAAAATACATATATATTTAAATATTATCAACAATGTATGAAACACAAGATTTGCACATTTCTTTCATGTGGGTGCATCCCCATGAGATGAAGATTCTTCAGTTCCGAAGCGTGCATAGGAAACGTGCACACACACAATTACAACACACACAGGCTTGGCAATGGCTTCCCAAAGCAACCCACATGTGGTAGCACATCAAACATGTGGCTTTTTTTTTCCAACATGTGATTGATAGAGAGTACCACTGTTTATTTATTTATTTATTTATTGTAATGGTTTAGGGTTACAAGAGGAATCACTCAAAAGCACTAAAGCTCTGCTATCACACACTATGGGACCTGCTTTACAATTTTGTTAGCTGCTTGTGATTGTCAAATAATCCACCCTAACAGTTTTCTTTGGTTGATGGGGACAAGAGTTTGGCCTGTGGTCAACAGCAACCACACAAGCTCTTGAAAATAAAATAAAATAACCCCATAAATGATATTGATGTTTTGAAAAATTCTTTAAATTCCAATTGGTGACATCAACTTCAAATTTATATTTTTGGTAAAATATAAATATGATGTATAATTTTAATTGTCTTTTGAAACCAAGATATTTTGATTGAAAAGAAGAAAAAACATTTAAATAATAATAATTATTATTATTATTAATAATCCATAATCTTTATTACTTGTATAATATGAGAGTGTTTTTACTAAGAAGTTTATTTTATTTTGTACAATATCAATTATGATTCAATCTTAATGACATCTCTTATTCTTTGATTGTTATTATTTGTCATGTATTTTCAGGTAATTTTTTCAACTAACTTCAAATTTAATCCTGTAAAATTCATCTTTTTTACAATAGAATTTATAATTTTATAAACTGATGTAATTAAGGCTTGTAAAAGAATCATTTTTTTTTGAAATAAATAATTGCAATGACATTGATCAATTACATGTTTAATTGTATTAGGCAATATCATTATCTCACCATTCGTTTTTTCTAATTTTTTGACCTTTTTTTTTTTTTTTTTGTTACCCATAGTTGCTACTAAAGTAGCTGCATCTTTAAAGTATTTCCATCCATATGACACTAAAAATAAAACTTAAGACATGTAAAAAGACTTGTGGTTGTAGATTGTCCGTTATCTGGCACCAATCAAAGATCATGTGTTAATTACTCGAATTGATTTAATAATATAATATAAATGTATAGCTATATTTTGGATATAGCATACTAAATATGGAAGACTTGATATTTGTATGTCAAAGATTGGTAGGTCATATGTATATTTGTTGAATATTACTACATACTCCATAGGCAAAACATTTTATCTTTAAATAGTATGAAGGTTAAGCTTGATTTCCTTACCATGTCTTATTAAATACTCTTCAAGTAGAACTCTCTACTTCTAATCATAAGTCCAATTGTTCTATGGAGATTAGTATAATTTGCCAATCCAATAGCATGGGAAGAATAAGAGCTTGGAGTTGCTCCATTATAAGATTCTAACAGCATTTTAACAACTTATGGATACAGATATTTTCTTTTTCCTTTTCTATGCTACTTTTATAATTTTAGAAATTCCCTTTCCTTCCATCTTCTACTCTTCCAAAGCCAATCATAATATACATATTAACTTCCAATAAATCTCTTTTTAAAGCTATGTAAGTTAACTTGGATTTTTTAAAAGTACTTTCTATTTTACATCTGTTCTGCAATTAGTTCTCATAAAAAAATTCAATAAGAACCTGGAGCAAAATCTCAAATTTCATGATTTATAATTGATTTTCAGTAAGTTGTAACTCATCTTTTATACATTGAGTGGTAATTTTAGTTTGTTTTATGTGTTAGAATGTCATTTTCATGCATCCCGGATAAAACTCAAACTTTTTTAGATAAGTCAAACTACCATACTATGATGCGTGTTTACATTCATTTTATGTATTGTTATTTATTTATTCCCTTAAAAAATCTTGAAAAATAATATATTCACGTTGTAGTACATGAGTTTGAAATGACAATAGTATGTAATCCAATTGAATAGGCACACACACACACACAAACATCCATGAATACTTTCTCTCTTTTCCATTCCTATTCAATCAAATACGACTTGTTTCTCATTGGATATGAACATTGTATAAATGGACACATAATAATAAATATCTTCCACTTAACCCTCCCCTTTCCAAGTCCGTTGACGTCATGGCCGATGTGGCCACAACCAAAACTGCGGGGCTAGCCAATGGGAACGGGGACAAATTCAAGCAAGAAAGAGATCGCGATTAGGGTTTCGGGGTTGGGCCAACACAACACAACACAACAGAAAACACTTTTGGCTGTTCTTTCTTTGTTTCCGCCATTGTGCACGTCACTTCTCCTTCCCTCCCTGCCCTCCATTCCATTCCCTTCCCTTTCTCGCAAACCCTCTTCCTTCCTTCCTTCCCTTTCGCGAATCCAGATGTTTGTGATACTGCAAAGACTTGCTCGTATGGTTCCCTTGGAGTGTTGGGATTCAGACTTGGACTCGAAGTTCTGTTTGATCTAGCAACGTTCGCCATTGCTCGTCTCGCGCAGTAGGTTAGTGGTGTCGTATTCCTCCTCACAGGTCTCGCCTCTACTTTTTGTTTTTTCCATTTACCGATCCCTTATCCATTGTCGATGTCATCCTGCGTGTGTGTGTGTGCGGGAGCGAGACAGAGAGAGAGAGTGCGAGAGAGGGAAGTGTTATAGCTGGGAAAGTTGTTGTGCTGGCTAGTTTTTGGTCGTGTTGTTTTTAGTTTTTGGTATTGTGTGAAGTCGTTGGTGAAGTCTTGAGAGTCGAGCCGATTGATCACAGGTTGAAGCGTGCTCTTTCCGTCTCACTGTGTATTTCGGCGCAGCAATTGCCTGCAGGTTTAGGTTTTTGAAAACTGAACAGCAGTTGACCGTAACATACTTGTGTGTGTGTGTGGTCGTTTTTCTTTTCTTTTCTTTTCTTCAGTTTTTTTGGTTTTCTTATCCTCTTTTCACTGTTTATTAAAATTGTGTTGTACTTGGCAATGCCATGTGCATCTCCCACTAGCTACTTGCTTTCTATTTTTTTGAGTAATTGTGTAATATTGAGTAAGTTTTCGTTTTTTCTATGATTTTCTGGCTGTGCAGGTTACGTGATCAAAGGTCGGTTTCTGAGTTGCAAGGAGTTTTGTGGCGGTGGAATATAGTTAAACTTTTTGTTAAAGTAGATTGTGCACGGATACTGATTACAGTGGAGACGGTGTGTCAGTGAAAGGGCGATTGATAGAGATATGCCATCGACATGGGCAGAGTCGCCACCCGATATGGTGGCTACTGAAAATGGAAGTGCAGCAGGAGCTTCCGGTGGTCGGCCAGTAAGAGCATCCTACGTACCTCCTCACTTGCGGAACCGTCCTCAGGCTGGCTCGGTCGTGAACGGTGCTGGCGAAGTCCCTGTTTCTGAAGTAAAAGTTGCCACTAGAGCAGCCCCGGGTGCACGACCAGCGTGGGGTAATCGGAACGCAGCACCGGCTGCTGCGCCTCAAGCGGAAATTGGAGGCGCCAGTAAGGTCGGGAATGGGTCTGCTTGGGGTGCTAGCACGGGGGTGAACCATTCTGCTAGTTGGGGGAACTCGAACGGTTCAGGTCGGAGCTATGGTGGTGGTGGGCGAGGCCAGAGGGTAGGATGGGAGAGAGAGGCCAATCCTTTCGCCAATGACGAGCCTGTATCAGAGGCTATTTTCGAAGCCGAGAACACGGGTATTAATTTCGATGCATATGAGGATATCCCTGTAGAGACGAGTGGGAACAACGTACCACCTCCGGTGAACACATTCGCCGAAATAGACCTGGGCCCCGCCCTGAACGAGAACATCAGGAGATGCAAGTACACAAAGCCGACGCCTGTTCAGAAGTACGCGATACCTATTAGTTTGCATGGCCGTGATTTGATGGCTTGCGCGCAGACGGGGTCAGGGAAAACGGCGGCGTTTTGCTTTCCGATCATCGCTGGGATTATGAGGAACACTCCTCCGGGTCGTCCTCGGGGCGGAAGGAAAGCATTGCCGTTGGCTCTGATACTGTCTCCCACCAGAGAATTGTCTTGCCAGGTGTGAATAGCGATGAAATCTATTGAAATTGCAAATTATTGTTGGTCGTGCAGATCAGTTAGCCAACCAAGGGGAAAAATATTTGTTCTCGCGTGATGTGGTATGAACAGCGCGGACTTACACTGCGACCCCTTATCGATTCGATGGTAGAGTCCTACGTCCTTCTTGTGAATTGCCTTGACGAAATCAATGTTCGTTGTTATTTTGCAGATTAGCGACGAAGCCAAGAAGTTTGCATATCAGACCGGTATTAGAGTCGTGGTTGCTTATGGTGGTGCTCCTGTTCACAATCAGGTGTGTAGTTTTTCGATGAATATTTTTCGTAACTCTTGTTTTCTGAATGTTAAGTTGATTAGCTATTGCATCGATCCTTTAATTATATTTTTCAATATTCTAATCGTTTTGGCAATGAAGGGATGTAGTGTTTCATTTCACTTAGTAGCGAAGCGTTTTCTCGATGTACTTACATTATTTAACTATACTGATGTATTGATTCTGCAGCTTAGGGAAATGGAAAGAGGGGTAGACATTCTAGTTGCCACTCCGGGGCGTTTGAGTGATCTTTTGGAGAGAGCCAGAGTATCCCTTTCCATGGTGCGATACTTGGCGCTGGATGAGGCTGATCGAATGCTCGACATGGGTTTCGAACCTCAGATTCGCAGGATAGTTGAGCAGATGGATATGCCACCGGCGGGAGAACGTCAGACAATGCTGTTCAGCGCCACATTCCCGAGAGAAATCCAGGTACTTATCCAGGAGGAGGGTTTAAGGTCTTCCGCAGTAGTACGCGGTTGTTTCTCAAAAGAGTTTCTATCAGAGTTTGAGTCCTAAAGGGAGCTTACTTGCGGGTGTGCCTGTATGATGGCCTGAATGAAATATGCAGTCAATAGTAATGTGGAATTCTTAAGTCTTTTGTTCTCGAATGGCGTTCTCCACGGAGACGCTACAATAATCAATCATTTAGTTACTGTTTGGACTGAAGAGGATTGACACTGTCCTCGACAATCTTCTGTGTCTAAAAAATTTTCTTCTATTTGGTGTGCCAGAGGCTGGCATCGGACTTCTTGTCGAACTACATTTTCCTTGCCGTTGGTAGGGTGGGATCTAGTACAGATCTGATCGTGCAGCGAGTAGAATTTGTGCAAGATGCGGACAAGCGCAGTATGTTGATGGACCTCATCCACGCTCAAAGTGCCTTGGCTCCGCCTGGACAGCAAACTTTGACGCTCGTCTTCGTAGAGACTAAGAAGGGAGCTGATTCTTTGGAGGACTGGCTGTGTCGCATGGGATTCCCAGCCACAACAATTCACGGCGATCGAAGCCAGCAGGTATGGTTGAGTAATATTCTAACATAAGTTCAACGGTACAAGGTCTATCTGGGAGGCTAATACTTGAACTGGTTGATAGTTTGGGAATGGTACCACATATTTTTAGTACCGTAGCTTGTCTCTTCGTTGCGTATTTACACCCCTTTTGGACTTTATCGCACTCCTGATTGAGGCTTGTAGTCAGTCCTGCCATATTATCTTGGATTTGACTCTTGAGTGACGTTTTGGATATAGGAACGAGAGCATGCCTTAAGATCCTTTAGGACAGGAGTCACCCCCATTCTTGTCGCGACGGATGTCGCCGCCCGAGGACTTGATATTCCACATGTGGCGCACGTAGTGAATTTTGATCTTCCTAGTGATATCGATGACTACGTGCATCGCATTGGTCGTACTGGGCGTGCCGGTAAGAGTGGTGTTGCAACTGCTTTCTTTAATGAGAAGGACCAGTCATTAGCGCGACCATTGTCAGAGCTGATGACGGAGTCAAACCAGGAGGTGCCTGGATGGTTGTTGAACTATGCCACAAGAGCTAGTTACGGTGGTGGAGGTAGGTACAGACGGTCAGGAGGGGGGGGATCGAGATTCGGAGGCCGTGACTTCCGTAGAGAGGGCGGCAGAGGAGGTGGAGGGGGTCACCATGGAGGTTATGGTGGAGGCGGTGGCGGTGGTTACGGAGGTGGAGCATATGGGGGTGGAAGTAGTGCATGGGATTAGAGTAGTCTTTTGGTGACTCGCTTAGATGGTAGGTGGTAAAATTTTGGTAGCTTCAGACACACCTTGCTCTCTTGAAGGGCTGTGCATAGTTTTGCTCACAATTTCTTTCACGGTTCTTTAGACATGACGAGTGCCCTTTCTGTTCTGTGAGGTTGTAGATTGGCTGGTCGGCTCTTACTTGGCCGGGTGTATATTAGCGCTCAGTATTTGAGGTAGAGCTGAAGAGTCATGGATAGGCGGGGCCTGCATTTGTCATGGGGGTCTGTCCCACAATTGTCTGCAAAATGTAGAAGAAGCTACACATGCAAAAGTACACTGGTATCTAGAAATTGTTCAGATTGCGTTCATTCGTTCAAGACACGAAGAGCTGGTCGATTGGATGAAGTCAATCGTTTTTGCAGTGTCAATTTTGATTCTGCACATATATGAAACTTTTTAGACAATGGTGTAAAGCATTAACTATGGTAATGCCTGAATGTCGGTTCATTGGAAACGTTAGCTTATCTTTACCTCAACTTCTCTTTTCCAAGGTGAAGCCATCGTTCAACTCAAGATATGGATTGTGGTCGTATTGTTAGAATTCCACGACGTGGATGTTAACGTCGTTTGCTCAGTGTGGAAATTTACATTACCTTTGGTTGATTGTCTGGAGAAGTTTTTTTAAAAGGTGAGTATAATATGATGTTGTGAAGACATACAACCGCCAGATATAGATAACGTAGGTTTCAATGGGCAGAGAGGAAATTTTCTGTTTACAGAGTACTGGTACACATATTTATTAACTTTCAATGTGCGTATGAAATTTTGGAAGCAATTGTAGCGATGAGCAGTAGAGGTGGAAAAGAAAGGGTGTCACACAAAGAGAACAGATTGGAGGACGAAAATTAGAGGATTGGGATCATTAGGAATTTAATGTGACATGTTACAAGTAACTCCTTTAGGAAGAAAGGATGAAGATGGATCAGTGTCGTAGAGAAAATCTGTTGTTGAAAGCTAGGTTGGTTTAGTATTTAAAAAATGAGTAGTGATAGTCTTGTTGCTGGGTTTTCTTCTTCTAGTAGTGAATAACTTGGAATTTGATTAATTAATTCATTGGTGTAAGTCCCATCTTGTTGTACACAGTGTGAAGGTTAATAATTATTTCCCTTGTGTTTCTACTAAACTATATCCAGTTTTGGAGTATTTGTTTTGTAACTTTTTTTGTTTCCTTTGTTGATTTTAAATGGATTGAGAGAAAAATGAATTAAAAACATATGGTCCAATCTCTTTTTAGTGGATTGAACTGCTATTGATAACTTTTGGTATTCCATGACCTTTTTAAAATTGAGGATACAAAAGAGGTCATAGTTAGGACTAAAGAGTAAATCTTCAGTAGAAAGAGTCTAGAGATATTTTAAAGAAGTGAATTTTCTCTTAATAATAATAATAATAATAGATTATCAAGGAACTTTAAATAAGGTGTTTGCTTTTATTATATATTTTTAAAAATTCTATCCTTCAAATAATTTTTATTTGATGGCACCCAAAATGTATACAAAAATAGGATAGTTGAACTAAAATATAAAAAATATCTTATGAGATTATCAATCTTGTTTTATATTAAGAGCTACATATTTACTTATTTTGATTTATTACTCCACTTGTCCAATTTATTACTCAGATCAACTCCACTTGTCCAATTTTCTAGCTCCTTCTAGTTATGAAGTTTTAGACGACCTTATTGAGTAGTGCCACTCCAAACAACTCCAACTGGTCTTGACTTCTCTCTAGCCTCCCTTCTTACTAAAATCAGGCTCTTGCTATTGCTCCCTAACTCAAAAGCACAAATTTCAAATGGTTATAGACCTTTAGTATTCAATTTTTTTCTTGAGATAGTCCTCTACAACATAGATGAAATCTATAAGAAGCAAACTAAATCCAAAGTTTTCTAGTTCAAACCTTTTCACTATGTCCAAATCACTACAATGCAGTCCATCTACTTAAAATACTAATAGCAATGTTTTGAATAGCAAAGACACAAATCCTTAAAAATGTATGAAAAGTAAGCAACTGTGGAATTTCAAGAACATGTTCACTCATATTACTTCAAAATCTTTAGTTTGTAGCAATGTTTGTAAGAGGCAGCTATGCAAGTATGTGAAAAGTTTCAAGATATGAAAATGAGTATGATAAACTTCAAATCATCATTCTACTTTCCTAAAGGAAATAATATCAAAATCAATAAGCTTTAAATTCACTAATTGAAAACTAAAGCAATCAATATCTAAACATATAAAAGCTAAGCAAACAAAATCTTTATTCTACTTAACAGATATAATAACTTTTTATAGACATCAAAGCCTAGTATGTATGTATAGAGTATCTAATCTTCCTTACACTCACCTAAAAGTGATAAGCTTTAACAACTAAAACCTACTGATTGAAAACTAAAGCAACTAACATCCAATAATAAAAATGCCAATTTGAATTTTTTAATACCACATGCCAAGGCTTGCAACTATACTTATAATCACTCTTGCAAGACTATAGTTAGTTCAATAAAGATTAAGAAACTAAACCATATTATCCACTAAAAAAATAGACGCTCTAATCAACTCTATTTTCAATCAAAAAATTAATAACCAAATCTAACAAGAACACATTGACATGAGTTATCACGTAAATTGTAACCATCACCATTTAAAAAATAAAAATAAAGATATAAATAGTGCCAAAGCATCACAATTTCTAAATTTTATCTCTGATGTTGCCAAAAATAATAGTAAATTAGATCACGTACACTCTTGCAAGTATACTCACAAGTTTACAACAATTCAAAAATGATTGGTAAACTCTTAGTGATTTGGGCACTTTGCTTGATTTTTTATTGATAAAAATTTGAGTTAACTTTGTACTTTTATTTTACTTTTGATGAAAATCAAGAAAGATGCATGCGGTGAATGAAAGCCATCACTTGTTTCTTTGAGCAATCTCAATATATAGATAACATTGCATGGCTTATTTTTTTTTTTTTTTACTTTTATTCTTTGAAATTGAAATTTAATAAGAATTCTTTAAAAATAAAAGAATTTTAAGTAGAAGACATATTAAATATGTATGTTTAAAGAAGTTTTTCAAACTAAAAAATCAAGAAAAGATGATAAATCTATACACAAATAAGTTAAGCTATGTCTTGCACCACAAAGAAGAAATCCAAGAGTGTAAGTGTGAGTAGAAGAAAATCCTAATGCTTTATTAAATGACTAAATCTCCATAGCCAAATAAATTCTTATACTACAAGCTTTTGTTTTTCAAAATCATTCATAAGACTTGATAAGTTTGTTAAGTTAAAGAAGTTTTTCCACTTAAGTATTTGAATTCTAATTGACATCAATAAAATCAACTAATAGAACAAGCTAAATAGATGAAAAACCATTAAATAGAATTAAATCATATACAACCAAAAGATTTGGCACCTAAAGCTATATCACATAATAGTTGTTGTATAAACAAAGATTGTTACATACAATACATTAAATGCTACAAATCAATCACAAAGTATGTAATCTAAACTAAATATAAATGTACAACCAACTTATTCTTAAGTGCCTTTCTTCTTCTATTTCTAATTGAATATGAACCCATCCACTTAACTAAAACAACAAAATATACACAATCAAAGATGAATGGTATAATGATGTTGCTACTAAATTGTATTCATCTAAGCCAATATTGTTGTAGCTAGACCATCTAAACGTGTGATAAATATGAAAGAAAGAATCTTCAATCTTTATCAACAAATAAAATATACCTAAAATACTTTCTACAATATAAATAAATCTAATTTCTTGAAAGAAGAGTAAAAAGATATCATGTCAAGCATGCCATATTCTACCTATGTTGACATTAATTACATAAAAGCATAGTAGCAGTTTCTTTCTTCTCACCACATACAAAATAAAGAAGACCAATTAATACAAATATAAATTTAGGATGTTCAAAAACATCAATAAATTGAGTACTTTATCATTTTTCTATTGTTAATGTTTATTTAAAGTTTAATTAGTATTCTATTAGAATTAGAATTTTTTTGTTGCAATTTCCATTCTACCTTCTATAGCCAAATGCCTCATGTACTCTCAAGCAAGACTTCATATAATACAACAACCTTGAGGCCCACTTGTCCGACTCTCAAATCAAAATTAAAAAAGTCGATTATCACAATTCCCAGCAAAATCAATCGCTTAACTCAATGTTTGAGAATCAGGCAAGTTGAGCATCAATCTCTTTACCTCATATTATAATCCATAGAAAAATTGGTTAATAAGTGCAGCATCATCTCACTTGATATCAATTGCAAGTTGTCAAAATTATAAAGCATATAATATTATGAATCGATTACCTTATTGTAAAATACCGATCCTCTTGGTTGCAATACAAGTTGCATCATGTTCTCTATACATAGATCAAAACTCTGCCAAAAAAAGCTCTAAATTATCAAATATTGGATCTTATTGTTGAAGAAAAGATTAAATCCACGATAATGTCGAATTCAAAAGAATTATACTGATGAATCTAACTTGTGATCTTTAAGTTAGATAGTTTTGAGATTGAAGTTCAAGCACAAGTTGTATTTGATTGATAAATCTTCAAAACTTCGACCTTGTACTATCAAACTTCTCAATCAGGATAGCTCTTGGTTCTCTAGTATCGAAAGAGTGTTCCACCGAAAAAGAAGGGACATGATTGAGTGCAGATGTTGAAGCAGCTTCAATCATATCTATATCTTCACTTCCTACTATTCTTGTTGCTTTCCATGGTAATAAACTAAGTTGATGCATTGCAAGAATTAACTCCCTTAATTGCTCTTACATTGGTATTATTACATTTTTTATTTCAAGAAGCTCTATCATGATAATATTTAGAAAAAAAAAAAAAGAAAAGAAAAAATCTAATATCACTCAAGATAAAGAAAAAAGAAGACTTGAGAACAAAGAAGATACTAAGAATAATATTAGTTTAGAAGAAGATAATCTGCAACTTCTAATATATTTATGTCTTATCAAAAAATGAGGTAATTTATTCTTAATCAAGAGAAGACAAAGCTCTAATATTGTAAGTGTATTCTTGTCAATCTGTTAGGAACAAGAATTTGATGAAAGTAAATAAATAAATAAAAAAAATAAAAATAAAGAACTATGTATATTAAAAAAAAATAGAATGGCTATTGCCAAAAGACAAGGAAACTAAAGATTCTTGAATCTAAACTAGAAGCAAGAAAAGAATTGACAAGAGTGAAGATGACTTCACTCTTACCTCTATATATACTATCTAATTAGAGGCTACATGGTAATGTACTATAGGACCTCTAATATGTGTTGACTTTGCACGAAACATGTTTTAGCTTATAAGACAAGTTTTTTATGTATGCGCTACATAGATAGCTTGTTCTTCAAGCTACCAACATGTGTGGCATATAGCTA